TAGCAGAATGACGACTCCCCTTATTCTGTACATATGCAAAGGCCTTTTAAAGAGATGGAAGAACATCCATGCCAAGGACACGACTCTGAACCAGATCAAACTCCACATTGAGGCCTTCCAAAAATTTGAAGACCCTCTATTGTGCAAGAAACTTTTGATAACCAACTGAGTCAACTGTACAGACAGGCTTGTAATCCAGGAGATGATCTATCCATTTCCAACCATTAGTCAGAAAGGCGTAATATTGGAGAAGTGTCTGCTCCCCCTATACTGAGCGCTCAATAGACCGGCGTAGCTTAAAAGATTGAAAAAATTTCCTTTTCGAGAATATGTAGCAACGACTGCTTCCCAAATATCCTGAACAGTATCCATGGATAAGTAGCCTTCACCAATCTCAGGAACCATGGAATGAATGAGTCACCCCATGATTAAAGAGTTGGTAATCTCCCATTGGTTATAGCCAAGATCCGTAATACCTAGTGCTTGAACTTTCTCATTAACATATCTCATCTTCCCCCTACTTTTCAGAAAAAGTGTCAGACACTGAGACCATGAAAGGTAATTTTGACCATTAAACAAAGCGGTGGTGATTTTGAGGCTAGGGTTCAAGTTCTCAGATGTAGTAGTTATAACTGGACTGGAGCTCTCCTTTTTAGATAGGTGAGAAGTAGTGGTGGATTCACTAGTTAGGTCAACCATAAGAACTCTACAATTTCAACCAAAAAAACTTTGCACAAAACACAAGAATGGAAAGAGGAATGGAATGGGCTGGACTGGACTGGACTAAAACAAACAAAATCACATACAGACCACTATAGGAGCATAACAATCAGATTAATGGGTCATCTATGGACCCAAAAAATAAATCAAATACGGGAAAACGAACCTCCAATCAAAACAAGTGCTAAACTGTGTTCAAGAAAGTGGAGAGAAAGAAACTTGAGGCAACAGAAGATGGACAGCCCTCAAACACTCATCCACAAGAACCGAAATACACAAAGAGAGGCTAGGACAGCTCTCACAAGGGTCAACTAGGCCAGAGGGGCCTTCGGCTAAAGCCGAAACAGCTTCGTGAAATCTTGGCTGGTTCTGATAGAGACTCAGGGACCAACGATGGAGGATGGGTGGTGATAGGTGATGGATGGTTGGTGGCAGCGACTGTGTGGGTGACGGTTTTTAGGATTTGGGCTCTCCCTTTTAGATAGGTGATTGATTAATATAAAAGGTGATTGATTAATACAAAGCTTGGGTGATGATTATGATATCATCACCTTTTATATTAATCAATCAACTGTTACAAAAGGAAGTCCTAAGACACTGATTAAGGAACCACCTTTTATATTGACTAACTAATTGATTGACTGACTAATTGATTGACTGATTAAGGAATTACAATCAATCAATCACAATCTAATCTAAATAAGGAAACAAGGAAATATTCTAACAATTTACTCATTTATTCTCTCGTTTGCACCGATTGTCTTGTCCTCATAATGTTTCTATTGCCTCTATGGTTTCCTCTTTTTCTATGTCTATTTCTTAGGATTTCAACTTTTTCAAAAATTTTAATGATCACAAGGTTAATGACTTGCTTCTTTATTATTTATTATTGATGGTGTTTCTTTGAGACATGCAAATGTTGATAAACAAGCATAGAGTATTCAGTCATTTGGGGTATTCTCTTAAATCCTTTTAGATAAGATTATTGATGATCAATTGTACCAATGTACCATTCTTTGGCCCTCATGAGATAACTTGGAGTGCAAATGTGCCACTTAGAGTATTTGCATTAACTATCATGATATGATTCAAATAAGGAGACTTAATTATTATATGCATTGTCTTGTCATTTTGGCTTTATGGTTGAGATTGCTTCAATTGGCAGAGGTGGATTTTGTGTTACCATCATCTTGTGTTCGAATGTTATTTGATTGATTGTATGGGCTTTTTTTGGCCTTAAAAGGAAAGCTCAAATTCTTCGGAGGCATATGATTTGTGTGGTGTTGGGGGTAATATAATCAGAAAGAAATGCAAGAATATTTGAGGAAAAGTTCAAAAAAATAGCAAGTTTATGGGAAAATTTTGTATTCGACTTCTTTTTGGGCATCATTATCACATGTTTTCAATGGATTTCCTTTGTTTTTTGATTAGTAGAGATTGGAAAGTTGTGTTCGACATGTAATTTTGTTGTCTTATTCCTTTTTCTTTTTTCTTTTTGGAGGACTTCTCGTCCCCTTTGTACTCTTTTGTACTTCTGTTTTACTCTTTATTTAATAAATTCTCTTTGTTGCAAATCAAACAAGAAATGTTCAACTACACATGTTGAACACATAACACATTTCCCATATCCTTATCCAAGTGTCAAGTGTCCAACATGCATACCCCACACATTTATAGGAGTCCATGTAACATAGCTTTGGAAGCAATAAAAAAAGTCCGACATTAATTCTTAGAAGTAATAGACATTTATATGCCAAAAGTTACTTCTTCAATAGGAAGAATATATATTTATGTCCTCCGAGTCGCACAGTTTTAACCAAAATAACTTTTTGCGCAATTCATGCTGGCGAATGAGTGTGTTGAGGTAAGGGAATTCGGATAGCGCACTATAGTCTTTGACCCTGTATATATTCTGTATAACAAAAGTTAGGGATCTATAATTTTCAAGTCTACAAAGTGACATACATAGACATTCTGTTTAATGGTTTCTTATGCACAAAAATAACTAGGACAGACTTAACAGTCTTGGCAAAATCTTTCTTTACAAGAAATAAATGACAGACGTCACTCAATATTTCACTAGGGTATGAAGCATATGCATCCCTATAAGAAACAGCTTTTTTCTGGCATTTTCCCCTACCAAGAGATGCATGATTCTCAGTCTGATATTTCTCCCACCTACAGGACCAACAAAAAATGAAGCAATGCAAGAAAAACATTTCACAGGTAACTAGTTACTGAATTCAAGTACCCCTTCAGAGAAGTTAAAACATTATGCTCCATGAGTCCAGGAATTTCATATATGTATGTGTGCCATGCATTTTTTTAAAAATTCATTATGTTTTCCTATGTCTGTCCTTTGGTTAGTGATTAAGAGGACACGACATAAATGTATCTATCATATTGTCATGGAAATCATTTTGGTATTTTAAATTTATATCCTCTTACAAGCAAACTGGTGGTTCACACACAGAACTATAATCATTCATGCAATAGTGGCAAACTTTTATGTATTCCTCAACAGGAATCAAACACAATTAATAGTAACAGAAAAAGAACGGGCAATGTTAATTTGGGCAGAAAGTAGAAGTGCAAATTGGTTTACTTGGTGCTGGACCTCAATCAGTCATATTTCAAGGCTGCAGTTCTCAATGCAAGCAATTGCCATATATAAGAAAATTCATGTACATAAAAATTCAATAGGTACATATTCCAGTACAAACAATGCAAGTAAAACTATTTGATCCTTCAGAAGAGATGGACACATTATCTACGAGATTGAACCTTCAAAGGAAACTATAGATGGCCAAGCAATGTGAGTGAAACTATTTAATCCTTCAGAAGAGATCTGCACATTATCTACCAGATTGAACCTTCAAAGGAAGCTATAGATGGCCAAATTTTATTTGGTTTTTAATATTCTAGTAACTTCCATTCTTGGGAACTTTTTTCATCAGATTCTTTTTACCATTTTTTCATGCTATGGATTCTTGTGCCCCTATCAACCTCTTTATGTGGTTGGTGTACCTCCAGCACACTCACTTTCTGAAGATGCCAAGAGCATCTTAAAGAAATACATATAGAACTGTTTGATTGTCTTGCTAACACATAATTGGAATAATCCTCAATTGGTGCAGTTTATGATGATACAACCTTGGAGTTAATGTGGCTCAACTAAATCATTTGATACAGTAACCATGTGTCATCATTCATATTGGCCAATGATTCTCAGTTGTCTAATTACCTGGCCTATTGATGGTTGGTGATAGCCTCAAGCTTCCATCTACTAAATATTTTTCTTCAGTTTATTGGTGATTTGTACAAGCTCGTGGAAGTATAGCTATAAGATTCAGGCTTTTTGAGTGTCCATGGTTTGCCCCCTTTTTGAATTTTTGTTAATAAAGTTTCTCTTATCAGAAAAGGAAAAAAAAAAGTCTTGAAGACAGAGAAGACCAATTCTACCATCGATGATCTTTGATGGATCAGTCAGGGATTGGCCAAGTGAGGCGCACAACTGTTAGTTTGGAGTTAAGCATAACAGCCATTTAAAAAGGCCCAAGCAAGCCATCCCAGTGTTGTGCAGCTACTAGAGGCAATTTTCTCATACACGAGAACAAAATTTAAAGAAAGCCAGGGAAAAGCAGCCAGCCCTTAAGAGCATTAAGAGCATTGGTAACTTGTGTTATGCAATCAGCATGCACAGTCAATAGGCCCAGTAAGAGTACCTTACTGGGTGTTGGCTCGTCTATTCGATATACTCTTTTTTTTTACTGCTCATCTAGTTGACAGGGAGGCTCATCTAGTTGACAGGGAGTACAGGAATTGCTACATAAAACACATAATGGGGTAATTGTACTCTCCTGTGGTTCAATATGATAATCAATATCCAGAAAGGAAATTACAGTGGGACATTCTCACAGAAGTTGGATTAGGAAAATCACAAACCACTAGAATGCATTCTGTTGCCTGTTTTCTTTCTTTCATCAACAATTCAAATCATTCCAATTGCTATTGCATTAAGGTGGCATAGCTGTATTTTTTTGGGGGGCCCATTGGTACGTCTGTACCCTAGGTATAACTCTGAATTTTGCATATACATGTTTTTTATTGCTCTCATATGAGAATGCCTAAGTTAATTAAATGGTTAATAGTTGAGAATGTTTTGTACTTGCTATAAATGTGACATCAGATTCTAAAGTAATAAGGGTCATATAATGTATTCTAGAACAGTGATGCTCAATGAAACTATGAACAAGTCACCACAATAATTTACTCCTTACCTTAGTCGCAAAAGTCTGCCCCATTCACTTTCTTCAGTACCATTAACTGGATTATCCTCTTTCTTTTTGGAACTTTGTGCACAGGGATCATCAGCAACAACAGGAGGTGATTCAGCTCCCCCTTGTTCTTCAGTTTGTTCCTCATTCCATTCCAACGACTGGTTGGAAAGGATAATGTGGAAATTGATAGCAGGAAACAACAATCAACATGTTAGTATTCTGTAAAACTCAAGTTCAAAAGCTAGTGCTATAGTTCAGTCAGAAATACAAACAAGAGATAGCAGGAGTGATATGGATGCAACTATCTAGCAAAACCCAAAAAAATAAATAGCAAGGTATATGGAGAATCAATGTTTTTCTTCACAGACATGAGAAACAAAAATAAAGAACAGAGTGCCACCAGAAATAGTTTTGGGGAGGAGGGCCTTTGCTCTTTTGTGGATCATTTGGCGAGAGTGGAATTGAACCTTTAAAGGTGTGGAGGTGTCGCTTAAGCTCTAGTGATAGTTTTTGTCTACTTAATACAGTTGGAACTCAAATGGTATTGAGCCATACTTGGATCAATTTTTGGATTTTGTAGGGTCTTTTAAGTAGTTGGGTTGCAAAGTTTGCTATTTTTCTTTCCTAAGGTTTTGGGGATCCTCCTCTTTTAATTTTGTGCTTGGGTGGCACCCTTTGGTACCATTTTGCTTAATGAAATACACACTAGTCAACAAAAACAAAACAAAATAAAATAAAATATTTTCCGATAGCAATGTGAGAACAGCGAGATTATAATCCTAAATATTATATTTATCTCCTGGTCTATGAAATCGTATAGATGACTGACTGTCATCTATACAATTATAGAAAGGCATATGTACAACATTATCAAAATTAGGCCAAGAAACACCACTAGATCAACTTTTTTGCTGGTAAGTGTGTTTTATGTGCCTAGCCTCTGGGGTTGTGAGAGGTTCCATAATTGTGCCTACTTTGTGTGTTTCTTTGTACCTTGTGAGTTTTGACATATCCTCTCGGGTTGTGAGAAGATTTCTTTTTGTAGGTTAGGTAACTTGTGTTGTCTCTCCATGAAGAGCTTTTCATTACTTTTTGGCTTATGTCGTGTGTAAGGTAATGTCTTGAGCTTCATTGTATATCCACCTTTTTTGGTAATGAAATCGCTTTACTAAAAAATATAAAAATTTGCAGCACAGAAGGAAAAACAAGGATATTAATTCATATGTGACTATTTGACAAAGATTACTTTAAAAAAATAGACAGTTTGAATTAGGTTACATTCAAGTTGAGTTATACCTAGAGACTTATAAGGAACTCTAACTGAAGATGAGCCAATAATTTAGTACATCATGCTGAGAATATTGAAATCTAAAAGTAGATCAACTTTAACATGACTGAAACCAAAGTAAATTAGTTTTGTAGTCACAAAAAAAAGAAAGGTGAAAAAAATCGTAACACCCACATATTTTGATAAGTAAATGTATTATCACAAGAATATTTCCGGAAGGGGTGAAACGTATAAACAGTGAATACCAAAGGCAAAATAAAACAAAACCAAAACCACCTATATATCTCAACTCTTACTCATTAGCTCCACAAAAAAATCATTGTGTCATTTGCAAAAAGAAAATGGGAAACAAACACCATTGCTCCATCCTTTACTCCCACCCCAAAGCCACTAAGTATCCACCACGAGATGCCCTATCTATCATGTGACTCAAAGCAGGGCCGGCCCTGCCCTAAGGCAGGTAAGGCTTATACCTTAGGCCCCATATTTTGGCCCAAAAATAGGGCTCCAAATTTAAAAAATTTTTATAAATTTAACCTTTTTTTTTTTTTTTTTTTTTTAATCCACCTCCACCTCTCACCAAAGTCCATCCTCCGCAAAATATAACATAAGAAATCCCAATTAACATGGTCAAAAGCCTTTCCCAAATCTGACATGCAAATCACCTCGTGAGTTGACTCTCAATCAAGAATCCACGAATTCATTAGCTAGAAAAAGCCACATCCAAGGATTTGCTTCCCAACAAAAGCATTTTGAGATTGTAATATAATCATCCCAATCACTCTCCTCAATCTCAGAGAAAGGATTTGGCTATGATTTTATACAGACTCCCAACCAAATTGATAGGTTTGAAGCTTAGTTGCAGGAATTGCTCACTAGGGGTGACGTTTCTGTGGTTCAAAGCAAGAGAAAGAATCTTGTTAGAACTACGGTTCAAAGCAAGAACCTTGTTAAAACTGTGTCCAGTCCAATTTCAGCAAAAACTAGTTTCTAAAACAGATGCATCAAATTTCGGTTTGCTTAGAATAGTGAAAAAAATAATAGGATTTCAGTAGTTATTGACAAGAATTTATAGTGAAAAGATAGTAGGATTCCAGTAGTTATTGCCAACAAGTTTAATGCAATACTGATCATGTGTAAAGACAGGGTGCCATTCACCTTTACCGAGCCAAGCATATCATTCTCTAAATCTCCTTCAGCATTATCAGGAGAACCAGATTGGAGATTTGAGCGATCAAGCAATTTCAGGATTGCACTTTCATCCCACACAATCTTGCCACTGCCATCTGTACATTTATCTTTGGACATATCCCCCAGGCCACCAGTTCTCCTTTTATGCTTATGTTCTATATCTGCAACTGCTTCATCCTTGTTGCTGCAGTTTTCACCAATGTCTTTCCCACTGACACTGGAAGGATCATTAAAAAGTTCTTCGGTTCCCCATCGTAGGATATCTTCCACCTCCTTCTGTGATCCAGACTTGTTCACAAAAAGTTGATCAAGCATCAGTTTCTTCTTTGCTAGCTGCAAGATACGTTCTTCAACACTAGCATGGACAACAAACCGGTAAACCAAACGTCTCTTTGATTGTCCAATTCGATGTGCCCAATTCATAGCTTGGATATCTGCATGTGGGTTGAAATCAGAATCGTAGATAATGACAGTGTCAGCAGTTGCTAAATTGATCTCCAGACCACATGAGCATGTTGATAGCAGGAAGACAAATTTACTTTTGTCTTGGTTGAAACGTGCAATTGTTGCTTGGCAATCAGCCAGAGAAACAGAGCCATCCACTCTCTCAAATGTATCGGACCCAAATTCAATGTTAAAATAATCCTTAAGGATATCAAGAAGCCGTGCCATCTGTGAAAATATAAGGACTCTATGGCCTTCCCTATGTTACACCTTAAGCATGGAATGCAACAGAGTCAGCCTACCAGAAGCTTTTATCTGCATCTCATGAAGGAATTCTTCTGACCCAGATTTAAGCTCAACATTTGGCAAGAGATAAGCATGGTTGCAAGCCTTAACTGCATCACAATATTCTGCAGCGATGTCTTTCCAACCCCTTTACCTATGTTGCGTAAAATCTTATAGTCCTTAGTTAGCAAAAAACGATACAATTCTGCTTGTATGGATGACAACAACTCAACAGGAACAATTCGTTCAGTCTTAGGGGGTATATTCTCCATGACATCCTTTTTAAGTCTACGAATCATATATGGAGCAACAAGTTTCTTCAGTTCCTCGACCTTTTTTGCAGAGGTAAGATCACTGAATTTCTCCTCAAATGATGGTAGGGAAGAGAATGAAGTGGGTTGCAAGAAATTTAACAAGTTAAACATCTCGCCTATGTTGTTTTGAAGTGGTGTACCAGTCAACAATAAACAATGCTGGAAAGAAAATGAATTAAGCAAGTTGAAAAGCTTACTGCCTGAATTCTTCAGGTGATGCCCCTCATCAACTACAAGAACTTCCCAAGGAACCGCACGTAGATAAGAGGAATCAGCAAGAATGACTACATAACTAGTTAGAAGAACGTTGAATTTATAAGAAGCTGTTTTCTTATTTAACCCACTTGTATCATTGGCGCCATTCATGCCGGCGAATTATGGTTCTAGCTTTTGCACACCCATGATACTCCACAATATTGAGGTTAGGAGCCCATGATGAAAACTCAGACATCCGGTTAGGCATTGTAGAAAGAGGGACCAAAACCAAGCAAGGCAACGTAGCTTTGAACTCAAAATTTAATGATGATATAAAAGCACAAGCTGATACTGTCTTCCCGAGACCCATCTCATCAGCAAGTATTACATTTCTGGATTTGTGCCAGCATTTACGCAACCAATTCAGTGCTTCTAACTGATGTGGAAACAATGCACCTCCTTCTAGCTCCTTTGGTTGCTCGGTGAGAGTAACTGTTAACTGTTAGAATTTACCTACACCTACCACCACCTACTACCACACCTACTACACCTACCACCAATTTACCATCACCTACTCCTCACCTACTACCCAAACCCTCTCCTATATAATGAGCCACTCTGATTTGTAATAGAAGGTATCAATCAATTATCAATCAATCAATAATACATAATTCATTCTCTCTATTTCTCTATACATCAATTTCTCTTACATGGTATCAGAGCTGGTTTAAGAATCTAGTATTTTCGCTTCCCGGCGGGCGGCAACCTCACCTTAGCCGCCCGCCGGACCTCAACCTAGTCTGCTTGTTTTTTGTACACATACCTTCTTCCATAATTAAGCTCTTTTCTGCCTTTACAATGGCTGCCAACGAAGACCAAGCTTTTCCAGACCCATCCACCATCCACATCCATCTTTTCCTCCATTTTCCTTTCCCTGTTTTCAATATATTCAACATATTTTGGAGCTGAAACTTCAATTGGTTTCTTGATTTGTACACCATCTGCCCATCTGTACTCATACTTGGGGCCTGCAGTCATTGTAGGACAGTTTTCTGGAGTGCAGAACTCTGTGAGGGTACCATACAGCAAGTTCACCTGGTTGAAGAAGTCCACAGTGTTGACAGCCAGCCATTCATTAGCGTCCTCCCCTGGAGGAAGTCTTACTGCTTCTCTCAGATTTCCACTCCCTAATGTTGCATCAATGTGCTTTCTCAGCTGTGCCCCCTTACTTCGGGCGAAATGTCCTTTGGTTCCTGCCCAGACCGAAGAGACTCATGGATCTAGAGAGAGAGAGAGAGATGCATGTGTGTATGCGTGTGATCTCTTCATCTCCAAACCAGTTCATGCCAGAGAGAGAGAGAGATGACTAGCTTTTCACTTTTCAAAGAGACAGAGGTAGTGGTTGAAGAGACCAATATAACTCTGGAACCAACCCATGTGCACTTTTATTATAAACCATCTTTTTTTCCCACCGCCCAAATTTTATTTTTTATTATAAACCTTAATTGGTGCTCTATTTTTATTCATTATTAATATTCATCATCACCATGCTTATCATTTCATCACTATCTCCATTCTCAGCTTGGTGATAGATTTTTCATAATGGTTGCTACCGCCGCTACTTCTGCATTTTTTCCAGTTGCATCTCCTCCACCCGATTCTGGTGCCAAGACATCCAGCAAGCTTGGAGGACCTCCAGCAAATGTGGATGCACGAGGGATTAAATCAAAAAAAAAAAAACAAAACAAAACAAAACAAACAAAAAAAAACAAAAACAACAAAACAACCACACCCACAGTGGGATTTTTCTTCTCTACTCTGCAGCCGGTCTCTTCTTCTTGCCTCTGTCTTGGAAGGCCCTTGACGGTGTTGCCTCCGTGTTTTCCACGCCGCCGAGCACGTTCACTCCCTGCTCCTCCACTGCAGCATATGGCGGCCCTCCAAATCGGAACATCACGGTGGCCTTCCGCTTCAGCTCCTTATTTTCCGCCTTACATGCCATTATCTACCACCAACACCACTATCATATTCTATACATGCCATTATCTACCACCAACACCACTATCATATTCTATACATGCCATTATCTACCACCAACACCACTATCATATTCTATACATGCCATTATCTACCACCAACACCACTATCATATTCTATACATGCCATTATCTACCACCAACACCACTATCATATTCTATACATGCCATTATCTACCACCAACACCACTATCATATTCTATACATGCCATTATCTACCACCAACACCACTATCATATTCTATACATGCCATTATCTACCACCAACACCACTATCATATTCTATACATGCCATTATCTACCACCAACACCACTATCATATTCTATACATGCCATTATCTACCACCAACACCACTATCATATTCTATACATGCCATTATCTACCACCAACACCACTATCATATTCTATACATGCCATTATCTACCACCAACACCACTATCATATTCTATACATGCCATTATCTACCACCAACACCACTATCATATTCTATACATGCCATTATCTACCACCAACACCACTATCATATTCTATACATGCCATTATCTACCACCAACACCACTATCATATTCTATACATGCCATTATCTACCACCAACACCACTATCATATTCTATACATGCCATTATCTACCACCAACACCACTATCATATTCTATACATGCCATTATCTACCACCAACACCACTATCATATTCTATACATGCCATTATCTACCACCAACACCACTATCATATTCTATACATGCCATTATCTACCACCAACACCACTATCATATTCTATACATGCCATTATCTACCACCAACACCACTATCATATTCTATACATGCCATTATCTACCACCAACACCACTATCATATTCTATACATGCCATTATCTACCACCAACACCACTATCATATTCTATACATGCCATTATCTACCACCAACACCACTATCATATTCTATACATGCCATTATCTACCACCAACACCACTATCATATTCTATACATGCCATTATCTACCACCAACACCACTATCATATTCTATACATGCCATTATCTACCACCAACACCACTATCATATTCTATACATGCCATTATCTACCACCAACACCACTATCATATTCTATACATGCCATTATCTACCACCAACACCACTATCATATTCTATACATGCCATTATCTACCACCAACACCACTATCATATTCTATACATGCCATTATCTACCACCAACACCACTATCATATTCTATACATGCCATTATCTACCACCAACACCACTATCATATTCTATACATGCCATTATCTACCACCAACACCACTATCATATTCTATACATGCCATTATCTACCACCAACACCACTATCATATTCTATACATGCCACTATCTACCACCAACACCACTATCATATGCCACTATCTTATTATATGCATTAACACAAATTTCCAGCACTCGGTGAGAGTAACTATCTCACTTTGTTGACAATCCCCCTTTCCTCTTGGCATATCATCCTTCCTAGCATCTTTTTCCAATGTCCGGAGTTCAAACTGGTTAAATAAATCAATCAGATGGGACATTTTCGCAATTACAGACTCGTCTATTCTTTCCCAAGTGCATTCATCATGAGGAAGATGAGTCCATTTTATAAAAGCTTCATCTGAACCATCTTTGGAGGAACAAAGAGCAATCACCCGCTGAGGCAGCTACCACTGTTCCTCGCAGATATTTATCACTGCTGTCCCATACTTTGCCTTGGAATTATCTAGTTTTCTCTTTGCCAGAACTTTCAGCTGAGATTCAGAAACCCAACTGTCGTGAATATGAGATTTCCCGACCCACTTGACTAAAAACTCATACGAGACTGTTACTACATCAGAGGATGCCAATTCAGCCAACTGAGTTTTATTATCAGGGTTGCCATTCATTCTTATTTCTATGTTTGCCTCCTTTGTGTCTTTGATTTCATGAGAAACAAGGGTTTGACAATTTTTTGAAACCTCACTATCACCATGACTTCTCAAACAAACAGTAGTATTCTGTACTCTGGAAATCTCAGGTGTTTTCTCCAAGACTTCTGCATTCACAACAGAGTCATCTTGATTTTTACCATTTGTGGCTGTAGAACTGGAATCATTGGTATCTCTCCTTGCTGAATCCACAGCCTTCCCTTCTCTAAATTCTTTGGTCACTGATCTTCTATATACTTGTAACTTTTCTACTCTTGTATTGTTGTTTAAGCTTGTCACCTCATCAGAACGGCTGATGATATTCTGAAGGCCCTCAGTGAAATCTTCGGCAGTTCCCCCATCCAAAATCTTGTCACTGTCAGGTTTTTCCTTTGCTACTCTATTTTTCTTGTCCAGAAGTGATAAATCCTCAGAAGGCAAGTCATTTGCAAGCATCAGAGAGATCTCGCATGAGTTCTTGTTATCACCTTGCACTTGGCACCCCAAGACCCGATCAACCTATAATATACATGAGTATGATTTAAGATAAAATAAAATTAACATATATTATGTTATTTCAAAACAAAATATATAAATAACACAAAAAATACACTGACACATAATAATATGGCACAATTATATCTACAAAAAAATTCAACATTTACCACTTGAACTTCACCAGGAACATGGTATTTACAGGTCACTGTGCCATCTACATTTTTTTCTGTTTGCGGTTGATGTGAGGGATCCTCTGCTTCCTCAGCAATAAGCTGCATCAAACAAAAAATAATGTAAATTTAAAATGACAACAAAATTAATATAACTACCATAAGAACTTTAAAGATCATAACATATGACGATCGAGAAGAAATCTGACCCAAAAAAAGAAAAAAAAAAAAAAAGTAACTAGTAACTGTCACAAATACAGGTTAAGCATGGGAGCCTAAGAAACACGGACACTTCTAAGAAGGTGGTATGTCCGTGTCAAACACCACACTCTTCAGACACTTCCCAACATGTGTAGAACACTCATCTAAACGTGCCCTATAACCCTATTAGTGTCTTAATTTTTTTACACTCGGACAAGTGGGGGACACACATGTCTAATTATTCAACATGCAAATAGTATATGATGCTGAAAAACCCCTCCCAACATGAAGCACTATAAAAAGTTACTAATAATCATCGGTCTAGCATGCGAAACCTCCCAAATTTTCCTGAACATCCATGCGTTGATGGTGACCAAATTTGATATATTTACATCGTACACAGATAAGAATAAAAGCTACAGTCCAAGACGTGATAAATCATCCATGTGAGGCTAGCTTATATTTACAACCAAGTTACAAATGTAAATTCAAGATCAAGGACAAGCCCAACATAATTAAAAACAATAATATATGCCATATTAACTAGCAATTAGAACTCCATAGCTTCCATATACTGTCGTACTTCAATATATTAAAGAGAAATAATAAAGATACGTAAGTACGTGACACAACATCCTCTTGAAATGCATTAGAAAAGTAAATATTTTAAATTAAGCTTCAATATTTGCGGCATAGAGTAGAATTTCACAAAATGCAAATTAATCAGCGAAGGAAACAATATTTAAACTTGAATGAGCACCACATGATGCGAACATACACATGAAAAGAAAAGAAAAAAAAAATTGATACCTCATCTTTTAGCTGGATATCCACACTCTTGGTTCGAATATCCTCCTTTGACCCAGAAGCAGAAGCGTGGTCAGCACTAATATGTTTTCGGTGCAATTTGCTAGTTCTGGTACGTGCAGAATTTGCTTTGGAACGACGTTTACGAGAAAAATTCATGGTGCATTTACCTTCATCAGCCCAAGGCTTCTTTTGAGTGCCACTGATATGAGTCGTATGCTTTCTTTCCTTTTCCTTTTGCATAGCTGCCCCGGAAACAATTTTGTAAACTGGAGATCCATTATCATCAGACATGTCAGGTTTCTTCTCAGGAGCTTCATTGTTTGATTTCAACTTCATAGTCCTTGATAGAGAAGAAACTTTCACTGCAGGAGACACTGACTTCTTTTCTCCTGGTTTGTCTATTGAAGATGATTCGGGTTCTATCTCATTATCAATATTCACAAGTGATAAATCACCCTCTGCACGTGAGAGATGACGGGCTCCACAGATGCATTGATATGCTTTTCAACATATTGTACTCCTTGAGATAAGGAAGATTTTCTTTTGCTCTCTGATCTTTTCTTTCCAGGAACAGAGCTCCCAAAAATCTGTGATACCTTGTCAGTGCCAGATGGTTTGATTGCAGTTTTTGATTTTCCAATGATAAGTTTTGTCGGCATCTGTTTTAAGGTGGGATCCAGATGGTTTGTGGGCTCACTTGAATCACTTTTCAGACAGCATTTTGGGCATTGCCACTTTCCAGTTGGAATTTTCTTGGGGCACGAATTAAAGATAAAAAAAAAAAGGAAAAGAAGTGATAATTAGCATTAAATACGACTCATTAACCAAAAGCAGAAACACATCAACTGTAATATTACAGTTAAACAGACATACCTTAAGAGGAGGATTAAGGCAATGAAGGTGATATGTTCTGGGACAGCTGTCACAACAAAGCAAGTTTCCACCAAGATCACAGATCACACACTCATAATAGTACTGGACAAGGAAAGAAAAGAGCATACAAGGAGTCACAAGCAGTTCATAAATGCTAACAATTCTGTCAATATGCCAGAATATTATTAAACCGTAACATGCACTTGCCATCTTAGGTTAGGTTAGGTGGCTCAGGAGATGGAGAAGCATGATCCTACTACAACTAACAAGTACATTAACCAAAAAAGAACCGATGACAACAACAATGACCAGAATAGCTGGCAGAAAAAGCTAAAAAGAACAGACATTTTTGGTCGGGAAAGAAGCTATTTCAAGGATTGCCATAGCTGTTCCAACTGCCTTTGCATTTCCTTTGTTATATATTTTTTCAGTTTCCTTTCAAGGAGACCTCCACTCCATTTTGTACGTTCCTTTTTTTGTTGGTTATATTATTATTTCTTATTTAAGAGAAAAATACGAATAAAAGGACAAAGAAATAAAATGAGACAATTTACCCCATCATTTCTTTTCTCCTTGCGAGTAATCAGAACTTGTTTTATTCTTCATCTTGCATTTAGATGAAGAAGTACTTGATGCAGTTTCCAAGGCTATGGAGTTTCCATCTTTATCGTCGGATATTTTCAAGGCTATAGAGTTTCCATCTTTACCATTGGATATATATGCATATGGAAGTTTTCTTCTTTTGCACTTCGAGCCCCAGTTTCGGTTAATCATTGGACTAGTTGAACCTTTTTCCTTCATCTTTGGATCTTGGGTCTGCATTTATTATTAGCCCTGACAGGAGAAACGTCATGAGTCAATGGAGAAGTTCAAGAATCAAATCTCCAAATTCTGTTCCCACACTTTCCCATTATGGAAGACAGTTGATGGAAAGAAAAGAATAAAAAACCACTAGGTAAAAGCAACAAACCCTAAACCCTAAACAGCACATTAAAATCAGACCTTGTAATCATAGCATATATATTTGCTACAGAAATTTTAAATATACATATATTTGTGTGTGTGTGTGTGTGTGTGTAAGAAAATATGCACCAAAAGTTTCCCCTTTTTTTTGTGGATAAATAAGTCAATATTATTAAGAAAAGAGCATCAAGCCGATGCTAATGAATACAAAAGAAACAATCAACCAACCACCACCAACTAACCATGAAGAGTATCTAAAAAATCTCAAAAGAAAACAAATCCGGATCCACTCATCCCGACACCCATCTATACAAAACTCCCAAAAACCTTCGCTTCAAACGAGTCACTGACTCGTCCACCCCCTGAAAAATCCTATTATTACGCTCCAACCAAACAAACCAACAAAAGTTTCCTTTTTAATTGCAGATGTGTGCTTGAACAGAAAGTTTATCTAGCAAACACGCTGCAGACATTAGCCTATATAAGATTAGAAAGTAAGAAACTCCAATTCATGCAAACCATAGCAAATGAAAATATAGTCAATGAAGTGGGATAAGGCATCAATGTCCTTCTCTGTAAAAAGAGCACCAACCTTTAAACCAGATGCATATGAAGTAAGGGTAGGAACAGATTAATGCAAGTTTCCCACAAACAGCAATAATGAGTATGGGAAATGCATTAAAACAATGGTCTGTTGAGTTTTTCTTATCTGATCAAGATTTCAAACGATTTGGGTTAACAACTTTCACATCATAATGAAGATCTTGAAACAACTACTACACCCATTGATTAACAGTATCGTCCAAAGTTTTTTGCCAAAGGTCAGTACCATCAACTCAAATAGCCACATAATTCGCTTTACACTGCACAGTGACAAAGATCAATCATAAGAGAAAGGTATGCAAAAGTACTAGAGCAAAATTTCGCCACGAAGATAAAAGATGCAAGCTTAATGCCCAACGCTCGAGAAAAAGTAAAGGTGATGTGAGTTACAAACTAAATGGCTCTATTAGTCCATCATGTATCATACCTTTCACTGACTTTGCTTAAAATGATATAACCGAATTTCATTTTTCCAAAAACAAACCTAAATAGTCACATATAACCAAAAATGTCAGAGGAGCAGCATATGCTTCTGATGTTGGAACACAATAACTCATAGTTTGTTTCTCAAAATGGGTATCAGTTTAAGCATAAACCAAACCAAACCAAATCAAACCTCAAGTCCCATCAAATGAGGTCGGCTAAATGAATCCTTCTTCTTCACGTGCCCTATCAAAGGCCATTTCGTTAGTCAAATTAAGTAAATCCATATATCTATTTACAACGCTAATCAACGTTAATCTAGGCCTACCCCATCCCCTAACACTTCCATCTACTGTTATAGCATCACATTCACTACTGCCTCGGTTGGTCTCCGTTAAATATGACCAAACCATCTCAATCAATTCTCTCTCAACTTATCTTCTATCGGTGCTACTCCTACCCATTTCCGAATACATTCATTCTTAATTCTGTCTTATCTAGTCTTGCCACACATCTACCTTAGTATTCTCATCTCAGACACACTTATCTTATCTACATGTTGTTTCTTGGTTGCCCAACACTCAGTCCCATACAACATCGTTGGTCTAATAGCTGTTCTAAAGAACTTACCTTTAAGTCTAGTGGGTATTCGTTTATCGCATACTATCCCAGACGCACTTCTCCACTTACACCATCCCGCCTTAATCCTATGGGCCACATCCGCATCAATCTCTCCCGTTGTTGTGATAATCGCCCTAAAAAACGAAAATGTTCACTCTTAGGCAGTTCTTGGTTCTCAATCTTCACTTTTCCTCTGTTTTTATTGTTACTGTTACTAAATTTACACTCCATGTATTATGTCTTAGTTCTGCTTATACAGAATCCTTTAGATTCAAGAGTTTTTCTCCAAATCTCCGACTTTGTATTAACTCCTTCTCTAGTCTGGATCTACTAGTACTATATCGTTTGCAAAAAGCATACTCCATGAGTGAGGTTAATGCTGACCATCATAAAAACCTCTCAATTAACGAAGTATGATAGATGCTATGTTGCATGGACTCGGGTATGGGTGTTAGGTGTGAGTGTGTATTTAGAAGTCGGATCCATCAAACCTTTAATTTTAAGGGTAAGCAGACCCAGCAAAACAAAAGTCATTTTTATATTTTAAATTTATTATGTGAGATAAAATAGTTTTATATGTTACATATAACGTCAAAAAGACATTTTACTTATAGCAATTATATAACAATATATACATTTTTTTTTTGTATTTATTGTTATATATATTATACAACAATGTATATATATAACGATAGTGTTAAATATAAATATATAAAAAGTGTCCGAGAGAAAATATCATAAACATATCTCACACTCTTGTCCAAGTGTTGGGTGTCCAACACAAGTATTGATTTATTTTGAAGAGTCTATCTAACATAGGATAGGTGAGATCACCAACCTAATACAAACTAAAAGGGCGGGATTTTTTTTCTTTTTAAATGTGACCTTTGGTGACTGTGAAAGTGCATGCAGTTTATTATTGAAGCAGAAAGACTTATTAATGTTTCCCTAAGCAAAAAATTGGATGCTTCGAGCAAGAAATATTGCTCTGAGAGAAACTCATTTAGTTAGATACCATGAAACAGTCACAAGATCAGCAATAGCTAGGAGTCCATCCACTAAAAGTATTTGAACAAAATAATTTTAAGCAAGTTTGCCTCAAAAGCACTAACAATAATAATTTGGCCAAAAGTAGATTAAAAGCAGCGAAATGGTACAAGATGACTAAAGAAGCACACGGAAGGCATTGATTAAGCATTGATGAAAGCGGGAATAGTCAGGTTGTCACAGACTCTAGAAACATCTTTGTTGATGACCAACTAGGGGTATAACCAAAGCAAGACAATCATTGAAGCAAACGAAACATATTAACATAAACTGGGTGAAAATTCATTAGTGAATCAGAAATGTCAAAAAACAAGCTAATCACCATCACTAAAAATGAGAAAATGTGGTTCATTTTAGCTCTCTATACTGTCTGCTAGACCAATAAAAGGCCAGAAAGACCTCATCACACATTCAAATACACAATTTGCAGTTCAAACCATGTTTCATTCCAAGGCTTTTCTTGCCCCAACCCAACCAGACCAACAATTGTAGCAATGGCATCTACAACTACTTCAATGCAATCAATCAAACCCAAAAGTTTAAAACCCATGACTATCGCCCAATTTAAATTTGAAGTGAGTATGACATAACTTTGGCAATCATGTACAAACTTCATAAATTGCCAGCTCAAATTAGCAACAGAAATCAAATTTGAATCATGCAAATTCCAAAGGATGAATAGCATGACAAATCATTATCATGGGAATCAAAAAACAATGAGGCCCTTTTAGTTTTTACAAGACAATCAGTTACTGACATCCAGAGCATCATCAAATAAAATTTACAAACCAAAACACTAAAAACTGACTTGGCACATTAAACTCCCTCTGAACCCAAAAAAGCCCATTTCAACAACTCGTCAGACAACAAATTCAAAAGAGTGCTGCTATTAGCACCTGCCAAAATTCTTTGAACCCCCCATTTTATAATTTTTTTTTTATTACAACTTTATCCTAAAAAGACATTATTAAATGGAACACTCACCTATCAATAAGAACTAATACTCTATAATATTGGACACCCACCCCCACCCCCACCCCCAACTCCAACTATACGTATTCTATGTTTGTAAGTCCTAAACCTATTACTTTTCATAACCAACTAATATAAACCCTAAATCTATTATCTTTTTTAATCATCTTAAATCTTGAATGTGTCATCTTCATTACCATCATCAACGGTATTGAACTTGAAAGTTTTGCTTCAAGTATAACGTATACTTCATCATCTTATAAGTTTATCTGTCTTGCATTAACATTCTCGGTCGTTTTCGGTCGTACTTGTTTCGTTCGAGCTGTTCGGTACTGGTTTGCTAACTGTTAGAATTATGTTCAGTAATACAGTACTGAACATAATCCTCTCGTTCAATACATAGGTTCCGAACATTAATGCAGATAGTCAGTTATGTAATTTTCTTTGTTAAACTAACTTAGAATGGAAAAGAGTGAATTGGAATGGATTTAAGTTATATATTTTGAATGGATTTAATTCATGTTATTTTAAATTGTGAATTGGAATGGATTCAAGTTGCACAGTGATAAACAAATTTTGTTCGGACATACAATGCTAACAGGATCATTATTGTTCGACAAAATAGTTCTGAACAAAATACAATTTTTCAGCTACACAGTGGTGAACAAATTGTTTTTGGCTACATTCAGAATTCTGATGGCAATTCAGACGATGATTCTGTTTTTCCTCATCTTGCAAACGGTTATACAAATCCCGTAGAAATTGGAGTATCTTCGATCGATCTCAACGATGACGAATATACAAAAAGCAACGAAGAAGATGATGATGAGAGGATGAAAGAGTTTACCGATTCGGCGATACGGAGAGCGTTCAGAGAAGATGAGAGTCGTCGGAATGCTCTGTTGACGGCCGAGACAGCGACGAGAGTGATGGAGGGTTGGGGTCCAAGAATTCTATACTGGACCAAAGCTCCAAACTCTGAAGATTGAGTGAGTCAGGGAAGGAGAGGGATGAAAAATTAGGTGGGTGTGCATTTCATTGTAAAAATATTATGAATATGGATAGATTTGGTAATAAGTGGGGTGTCCAAAAAAATATTATTAAAATTTAGGATTTAAGGTTGGGGTCCAAAGAATTGGGCCTTTTCCCAATATAAGCCATTTTTGTATTGTATTTCCAAAACTAGGCCAACTTCTGACGGAATTCCAAAACTAAGTTAAAGCGCCATTACTATTCGCGCTTTTACTGTTAGGAGCGCAAAAGTAGGTGAACAGGAAAATCGCTATTACAAATAGCGACTTTGATTAATAAGTCGCTATTACAAATAGCGCTTCTAGGGTTATTCTTTTTCCCAATAAAAAACGCTGTTCTTAACAGCGCTTTTCACACAAAATTTTGTTGCCAAAAAACGCTATTGATAATAGCGATTTTAACAAAAAAAAAATTTTCCAAAAAAAAGCTATTTATAATAGCGATTTTAGCAAAATTTTTTTTTGCAGAAAAAACGCTATTCATAATAGCGATTTCAATTCAAATTTTGTTCCAAAAAAATGCTATTTCTAATAGCGATTTTAACAGAAATTTTTTTCCCACCCAGCGTTTTTAACATAAACTTTGTTGGAATAAAACGCTATTTTCAAGAAAATCTTGGATATCAATCATGCAAAACCTTTATTTCTAATATCATTCACTGAGTATCCAAGCTCACCCTCTCTATATATATGTAGGTGACGAACAAGAAGGCATTGAGGCCTAGACGTGATGCCGATGTGTTTTTGGGTGCATTGCCGACATGTTTTGGAATAGCATTTTTGCACCATCTTGAAGATCATGCTTCTCGGCTTATTTTTCATTTGTACTTGTATATGTCGGCTTGAGAAGCCTTTTGGTCAAGATGTGTTTTGTATCTCATTTCCTTATTGTATTTGGGTTGTAAGACTTTATAAAGATGTATGTCATTTCATCGGACTTATGCACGGCTCTCATGGACTATTAGATTCTGTATATGCACATATATTGCTTCCGCACTTGTAAGCCCCATATTTTATACTCTGATTGTGTGTGATTTTGTAAGTCGGCCTTCGGTAATCTCGGATTACTGGCCATCACGGCACCAAACTACTAGGGGCGGTTTGGGGGCGTGACAGGGCATATGAAGCATGTAGATTACGAGAATATCGAGATATAGGAAGAAAATGAAAGGAGACAAAAATGCAATAAATAGATGGAGATGTAGAGAGAGAAAGACGCATACGGTACTGATTCACCGGGCCTCATAGGACATTGACAAGGCAGCAGGAGTTGGGTTGTTGTGGAAGCCCCGGAGCGAAAAGCACATGGCCAATGACGTCTCGCCACATGCACCTCCAGGACGCTTGTCCCCATCTCCCTCCCAAATTTCTTTTATTTTCTTTTCTTTTCTTTTCCCTCATTTTCTCTCCTGAGAAAGAAGAGAGAGAGTTTGATTGCACCATTGAATGTATGGACACTCCTCCCACCTTCTCTCTCTAACTTCGTCACCTCAGCCACCATAATCAATTGCCGAGAGAGAGTGTGTGTTTTTCCAGGCTTTTCTCAAATTAAGGGATTGTTTGGGATGAACTAAATAAGTGTAATTTTTATTTTTTTATGAAAAGATTTTCAGAAAAGTAAAGAGATGATGTGATAAAAAAAGATAAAAAATGTGTACTTATTTAGGATAGCCAAACTTGGCCTAAGTCGAATTAGCATCTTAATTTTCAAACTAACCCTAGTTTAAACAGAATTTTCAAATTAGGTTAAAGTGCTATTACAAATCACATTTTCACTATTTGTAATAGAAAATTTGTGAAGTAGTGAAAGCGTGGTTACAAACCACGCTTTTAGGAAAAATTTATTTTATTCAGAAAACGTGGTTTCAAATCACGTTTTTACTGTGTTTATTTTTTTCTGAAGAAAACGTGGTTCCAAACCACGTTTTTACTGTGCATATTGTTTTGTCAAGAAAACGTGATTCACAATCACGCTTTCACTGTGCATATTTGTTTTGTTAAGAAAACGTGATTCACAATCACGCTTTCACTGTGCATATTTGTTTTGTTAAGAAAACGTGATTCACAATCACACTTTCACTGTTGAAAACAAGCAGCGTGAATTGCAACCACGCTTTTAATAATGTAAAATCCGTGGTTAAATGAAAGCGTGGTTCGTAACCACGCTTTTACAAGTTATATAAACCCCCCCCTCAAGCCCCCTCATTTGCAATCACGTTTTTTAGACTTACGTTTTTTTCGACTCTCGCTCTCGCTATCCCCTTTGCTCTGCTCTCAGACTCTCGCCCTCGCTCTGCTCTCAAACTCTCTCTCTGCTCTCTCTTTCTCTCTCTCTCTGCTCTCTCGCTGTTCGTGGGTTGCTCTTTCTCGTTGGTAGGGCATCTGTCTCTCTCTGTCTCATTTGAATTTTATGTATTTATTGTGTTTGTGAAAATGTGAATGTATGGTTTTGAATTGGTAAAATGTTGTGGTTTTGAATTGTGAAAATTTTATAGGATTTTCAACTGAATGTGAAATCATAAATTATGAAATTAGAAATTAGGGTTATGAAATCATAAATGTGTTAGGGTTTTGAATTATGAAATATGTGGTTAAATGTGTTAGGGTTTTGAATTATGAAATGTGTTAGGGTTTTGAATTATGAAATGTGTTAGGGTTTTAAATGTGTGGTTATGAAATTATGAAATCATAAAATGTTAGTGTCACGACCCGCTCCCCGTACCCAAGGGTTAGGCATCGTGATGGCCAGTAACCGAGGTTACCTCCGGCCAAATCTTTAAACAATTTAACCACACCCATTATTATTATTATTATTTATATTATCTATATTATTATTATTTATATTTTGACCCCTAAACTTTTAATAATTATATTATTTTATAAAATTACACATAATAATATATAATAAATTATATATTTTCTTAACTGAGATTAAATAATATTAGTATAAATTCTACAGAATAATTAAAAATCTGGGTTGTTACAGTTAGGGTTTTGAATTGTGAAATCATAAATTATGCTTGTGGATTGTGAATTGTGAATTCTATCTATATTTTTTGAAATTAGGGTTTGGGATTTTGAATTGTGAATAAACCAACCTATATTTGTTGAATTGGAAATTTTATTTTTTACTTGTTAATAAAAGGAATTTTTTAAATTAAGAATAAAATTATGATAATTGAAATTCATATAATTGAGAATTGTTAATGTCATATTATGAAATTCATATAATTGAGAATTGAGAATTGAAATTCATATTATGAAATTCATATAACCGTTGATGCTTCTAGTTTATGAGAATTGGTAATTGAAATATACTTTTAATATCATTAAAAATTATTATTTGTCTTAATGATTTATTAAGACAAAAATTTATTATAAATAGAATAATCATTTATTATTATAAGGGAATAATGATTCTAGATGGAAGACTAAAAAATGACAATTTTTATGTCATTCTATCTCATTTCAATGACTAAATAAAACAAAAGGTATAAAATGACTAATTAAGTAATCAATCTTAGAGTTTGATACATTTCTTATACACATTATAATTGTTGTTTTAGATATATTTTATAAATTATATATTTCTATTCGTAAATCAAAACATATCGGATAAATTACACTCACATCTCTTAAGATAATATCTTACAAATTTAACATAATCACACCGACCTCTTTAGACCGGGTTGAGTTCCACACGAACTTTGTCCAAAACGTTCACAGAGTTGGGCCGAACTCTTAGACAGGCTAGGCACAATGTTATCGTAGGCACTATGAGCTACGCGGAGCTATCTACCTAGGCCAAGTCAGCATAATTATGATGACCCCCCATTATAAACACAATATCATTCCTCAATTTCGATATTGAACACAGTAATATTAATGGCACAATTTGGAACAATACTCAGTTTCTTCTTTAAATTAACACTTGCTCCCCATTGTAACATTGCTTCAACATCATCCAGGTATTAGATCATCTCTATTTTAGAATATTATTAAAAAATTTATTCTCTATTTTAGAAATCCCTTTTTCATCTATTTTTCTTAACAAATTATCTATTCTTTCTATGTTCTATTAACAAAATCCTAATTTTTGTTATAGTTTCTATTAAAATATTATTTTTAATAATAAATTTAAAAGAAATAAAAATTATAAATGTGTACTGTAGTCCCTAAACAAAACAAAGCAAAATAATAATGACAATAATAAAAATAGAAAAATAGCAATTATTAGTTTAGGATATGATATAAGGGAGTTGGTGAGGTGATATAAGGGAATTCCAAATCCATAAAATAGATAAGGAAATAATTTAGGGGGATAGATGGGGATGCTCATTCCTAACACAATTCCCACCAATTAAAAAATCCAAACCATACTCTCCATACCAGTGGACAATGTAAAGTACATGGTTGACAGTTTCAATTTCCTTCCCGCAAAAGAGAGACAAAGTGCTAGCATTATTATCCAACACCTCAATTCTATGTAGAAAATTGATGTTTTCGCTCTGCCTCTCCAAGCTAACCAACAAAAAAAACTGAATTTTGGGAGGTGCCACATTCTTCCACAACCATTTGGAAAATCAAACCAAACAATTTATTTTTGTCAAATTTATTTATATTTTTTCAAAAAAATCAAAAAATAATTTAAAAAATCAAACCAAACTGCTATATCATGTATTATTTTTAATATACATTCAATAAAATTAATAATTTTTATAAAAAATATTAACTTTGATATTAGAATAATTTGAAGACATTTCATCATAAAATACTAACATACAATGTTATAATTTTTTAATAAAAATTTAAAAAAATTTAATGAGTTGAATTTGTAATACATATAATAGCATTATAGTAGAAATTAAAATTTCCTCACAAAACTTAAGAAAATTTGAAAAACTTTTTGAAATGGGGATTGAACGAAGGGACTCATCGCCACTTCCGCTTTGTGACTGTCCACCACCATTGAAAAGAAAAATCTTAACATTATGTTTTAATAATTTTATTTTGATTTATATAATTAGAAGTCATTATTAATTACACCGTGCCTTCAGGTACGGGCATACACTAGTAATAATATATGTATCAAAAGAGTCTTAAAACATTCTAATTAATAGTCTATAGAAATTTCCTAGGTAAGAAGGGGGGGAAAAAAAAAATAGGCACTTTGATGGGTAAACTTGTGTTTCATAATACCAAATAATTGCTACGGATGGCCCAATAGATTGACATGGACAACTATCCAAAATTTACTACATAGATTTAACCACCAACATAAGCCAATAAGCCAAGGCACAAACCTCTTTTGAGAACAAGAAAAAAAATTAATTTATTGGTTTATTTTGATTATATTAGCTCTTTATTTATTTATTTATTTATTGTATGTTTAAGAAAAAAATAAAGAGTAAATAAATTTAATTTTTTTCTTACTTTTCAGAACAAGCCAAATGAGCTTTTTGTTTGAATTTCATAACAAAGCCTCTATAACCTCTAAAAAGTGGACGAGGGTTACTATTTCACATAGGAAATATTTTTGTCATTAAGGTCCCTAATGGCACAAGTTTGAGCAAATCAAATTAACTTATCTTTAATTGTCCATAAATTTGAAGAATTGGATCACCAGTTTTAAAAAAATAAAAATAATGTTTGAAACCTCTATTTTATATTGTCCAAATCAATCGAGTTATTTCAACTCAATGAAAAAAATAATAATTTCATACAAAACTTTTAAACTATGATTTAAGATGTTTGTATGATTTGTCCAATTTTGTCCAATCTCACTGAATAAAAAGAATACTTGATAGAATGAAGTGTTTTTTAAATGTGTGATATATCTGTCTACTTTATCAAAATACTAAACAATAGATCAAGATTTATGAAAAGAAAACAAAATAAGTGTTTTTTAAATTTGTCCCACTTACATGCGTACGATTAAATCATTGCCTAAATTAACGGTTGTGTAGAGTCCTTATTATTTATTTATTTATTTGGAGTGAATGCCTTTTAAAAATTGATCATATTGAGGGAGGGAGGCCCTTGCCGCAATGGTAAAGTTGTTTTATTATGCTGATAATAATATAAAATAAAATAAATCTATTATAATTCGAGTGTTATGGATTCAAATCATAGAAATAATGGGCTTGTTTGGTTTGTTTTTCATAGAATATTTTGGAAAAATTTCTCTAGAAACAAATTTTCAAGAGTAATCAAACTAAACAAATTTTAAAAAAAAAAATCTCAAAATTTTGTTTGGTTACCTATTTTCCAAAATAAATTTCTCTCTCATACATATCAAATCAATCACTTTTTGTAAAACTCTCTTCCCAAAACAATTTTCCACAACCATTTCTGAAAGAAGGCAAACCAAATAAGTTTTGGTACTTTTTATCTCAAAAACTACTCTACAAACACAAACCAAACACACCGTCTCTGGATACTGAATAATGCGCATGCATATATCTGATCTTCCTCTAAACTCTGTCGTGACTATAATCT